GAGAATCAAAGTCACATCTGTGACGTCCAGAACGACGCTACCGATGTCCCGGGCGTCTTCTTGCTGCAAGATTGATGACGTCTCCCATGCTTCCTCGCCGTTTCCACTATACCGTGTATTCTCTGCCCGGGAGAAAGGAAAACGCGATTTCTCCGTGCAAATGAGACGTCTCCGTGTCAAACGGGGCGCAGACAAATGTTCCGTGACACCGCGCTTGAAACAATCTTTGTCACACTCACCTGTCGCGAGATAATTAAACGTTGTAATCTCCGACGATGAGAAATGATTTAGGAAACGTAAAAATCCAGTTAAAACACTAATAGCGTTAGCAAGCAGCTTATTAAAGTTAAGAAACGTATCCGAGCCGATTTGTTTCTAACTTTTCATTAATCTGAAGAATTTCTTACGTTCTATAGAAATTTTTAGCTTCTGCTCGCTTAAAGAAAGTACTTTTACTCTCGGCCTCGGTACAAACGGCACCGATACCGTCGCTGGGCGATTCAGGAAGCGAATCCTCGAAGAGGGAAGGCTCGAGGGTCCGCGCGTCGTCCATCATTCGCTGGAACGACTCGACGCTCGGTAGGTTCGGGTTTTCATAGAGAGGAAGAGAGAGAAAGCAGATATCTGCATAGCGAGTCGGCATCTCGGGACGAGCGAGCTAAGTGCGGGATTATGCAAAGCAGCGGCCATACAGTATAAAAATACGGAGCGACTCCGCGCCATCTTTTCCGGACCATTCTAATAACTCCCACCCACAGCGGTTTCCTCCGGGCCTCGGGAACTCACCTCCTCGATCTCCAACCCTCGTTCACCCTCCACGAGGGCGAAGCCGTGCACGCGTAACGGTCTCGCTCTCTTCCAAGATTTCGGCAACTATAATCGTAAACCCGTCGATAAGGCCGTCGCGACGCCTGTGCACATTGCGTTCGTGCCGGTGATCAACTTTTTCTTACGAAATTCATTTTCCACAGAGTTTCTTTCTATCGCGAGTATCACGAAGCGATCAAACAGGCGTTAAGGGATGCTCTTCGCGCACAATGCCAGTCACGCCGATGATCAATGACCCATGAATATTAACGCGTGCCATTAGTTTGTATCATTCGATTGGCCGCGTCCTCTACGCGTCAGATCATAATTCCCGAGCGAACGGTCCTCGAAATTTAAAATCATTGCACAGTACTGATCAGGTACGGTTCCTCGTCACGGTTGAATTCAGGAAACTTCTCTAGGCGGCTCACGTTTTCGCGAGCGAGGCGCGAGATAGCGGCGTCCGATAGCGTAGCGCGGCTGGTTGGAAGTCGCATTAATTTTCCTCGGTCGACTCACAAGCGAAACTGGGGAACGACGTGGCCCGGGGGTGCGCGTCGCATCCCGCGAGGGTGGGAGAGCAAGCAGAAACCGCTACCAGAGCGTTTAGGTAAGGTATTCACGTAACACATAAGCAACCGGCACGCGCAGCCCACCGTGTGCACAGAGATAAGGGCCGAAGGTGGCATCTTAGACGGCACTTCGAATAGAATTAAATTCCCCGAGCAACCGCCCCGAGAGCAAGCCGATATCGTCTGAAAGGATGATATCAACAAGAGCGGAGTCAAACTTCCCAACCCCCTAACGCGAGAGTGAATTCAAATTCCATCGCCGAGAATCATATACGGAGCATAGTGTGTCGAATTTAGAATGTATCGAACGACTGCGATCGTCTTGGCATTAATTTCTGCATTGGATACAGTCAGAAGAAAACGTGATACAAAGTCCGGATCTGACTATTAGCTAGATAACATTTACAAGCTCTCCAACGTGAAACTAACGCAGCTATTCGACCGTTATTGGGGAGAAGATGCTCAGGCCGAGACTTGATCGATGATTATTCGATACTCCGTATTGCGAAGTAATTGGTCGGTGAAACATAACTTGGAGGCCAGAATTATCGACGACAAAGCGAGATGAGGAGCGTAAAAATTGAACGAGTACGTATCAACTTTTGGTGGAGGAATTAAGAGAATCGCGGGAACATTTGATGGCTCACTTGGTATGCATGGTTTCCGGTTATAAGTCAAGGAATTGCTCAAGCGGCCGTAAAATCTAAATCTCCCTGGCACTCATCACCGTGGCACCTCTTCCACTTTCGCGTACATCGCGGCCTCTCTTCTTCTCGCGACAATCCTCTAAAACTAATCACACGTTCAATTTATCAGCGACGTAAGACGTTACCCTGTCACCTCCAGCTACGCAGATTTCTTTCCTGCGATATTTCTTTTCTCGAAAGACATAAAGAAAGTTCTTTCTTCCATTTTAATAACATCATTTTTATATTCACAAAATTAGGTAATTAAAACAGAGTTATAATTTCTTGCGTTTATAAGAGGACTGAATGATTTCATTATTAAATTATAAAAGAAATTTTTGTCTAAGTCCTCTTAACTGACATCATAAATGTTTCACGTTAAACAGAAGTCCAATTATACTTCATGATTTGAATAAGGTTTTCTCGATTGGTTCGGGCAGTCGTATAATGGAATATATTTCTTTGCTGCGTGACGGGGTTTGCGCGCGACCAATGTGGACGGCGGGTTTTAATGGAAAATCGACTGGTGCCCGGGTAAGCCCGGCGGAAGAGAATCACGATGATTCCGTGAAATATGGAGGCAGGAGCGAGCAGGTTTTCGACGGAGCCGGCAAAGCTGCGCGGCTTGCTGCCGGTTGGGGGCCGCGTTAATGGGTGATTGATAAACGAGCCTACCTCTCATCAACTGCATCGGCTGCATATTTATCACGGGACGGACTCAGCAGTCCTCGTGTTAGCGTCAGCCAAGCGGAAACTAACGCGAGATACTTATATTACTTTCCCCGTTGAACAAAAACAAGTACAATCGTTATACGGGAGATTGATTCCACTTGTACAACCGAAACTACGTGAGCGAAAATTAATTGAAAAAATCTTGCAGGAATTTTTGCATAATTCAATGCGTCAAAGGTTTATGCAAGGTGTCCCTTGGTAGAACTTCAGCGTTAACAGCTCACGCGTGTCAGGCACGTGCCGGTCGAGCTGCGACCCTCTGCTCGTTTAACTTGCCCGAATTGCTGCCCTTTCTGGCTGATTTTCAGGATAACAAGGACAGATGCCGGCGAAATTAGACCTGCGCGATTCTCACGCGTCTGCACCCTTTCCTCACAGAAAATAAATTTTGCTATCTATTCGTTTTCAATCTTCTCTTGTCGAGCGAAAGAAAAAAACGCGATGGACGAAAGATATCAAGACCCGTGGCATAAAGTAGAATTAGGGATCAGTAGACTGCGATTGGCAATAAATATAGTTCATAAGCCAGGAATGGTTCGCGCAAGATACAGGAAGGCTCCTCGACGTCCTGCGGCGTGTCGCGTGTCGCACATTAAGCGTCGGGCAACGAGATCACTGCGTCGATTTTACGACCAGGAATTAGGATTAATCCTCAGTCCAGTTCGTTCGCCATTTCTTTGTCAGTCGGAAGACTACATTTATTCTAATCTTCTTTTATGTGTCAATTATTAGCACTTTTTTATAAATCATAATTTAGAATGTTCGTATTGATCATAATCATTTTGTTATCAAATTTATTTGAAACTGAAAATAATTTCGTGAAGGCGAGTAGAAGAACTAGTTTAATCTTAGTCGACCCGCGAATCGTCCGTTGGGATCGGCGGGACCAATCGAAAAGTCATTACAACTTTTTGTCGACTCAATCAAGAAGTTAATGTCCTTTAACCTCTAGGCATTCCCGGTAGAGCTCGCGGAATCCCGGGAACCGTAAGACCTCGACGGCTCTCACATGCCGGGCGAAATAGATCACTACCAGCTTTATGATTGATCGCCTATTGGCTCTGCCGGTCAGCCTTTTTCATACCGTTCTTCCCGCGAATTATTACTCCCTGCCATGAAATTCCACTCTCATTCTGCTTCGCTTTGTTTTTGTCTTCGGTTTTTGTGACAAGCATTTTGTAAGATTATTCGGAGATCAAATAACGAGTAAAGGCTGAAGTCGATAGAGCGGTTGCCGAGGAGGCGATAAGAAAGCTCTGGTTATCGCGAAGAAACGGTTTCGCAGAAGCCGTATGTCACCTGGAGGGATCGGTAGTATTTATCGAACCGGCGAGAAATTGTGGGAATTCGTCAGGAAGATAATCCGTGAAACGATGGTCGAGGCTCTGCTGGTACCTTCTGTCCGAGCGGGTCGATTTAATACGTCTCATTTCTCATAAGGTATTCGCAAGATGACCACTGGCAACACTGAATTTCACTAAGTCTGTCTCTAAGATTCGAGTTGGGAAATAAAAATAATCAAGAGACCGGGTTATAGACAAATAAAGAAGAAAGGATGAGTAGGAGAAAAAAAAAGTGAAGATTTCTGTGGAACGAGTTCTCGTTCCAACGAATCCTCGAAAAAAGTCGGAGGTGAATGATCATTGGAGGGATAATCGGGAGCGTTGGAGGTCCATCAGCGGATTCGACGAGTCTGCCGAACGTCCAATATCCAGGAGGTCGACCATAAAAAAGGAGTTCGGGCTGGGCGTTAAAAATATTCAAGATCGTTTGTCAGTCTGAATTACAGCCACCCCCGGTTCGCCCTCCGCGGATACAACGGGATGCTGCGGGTACGCGTTGCGCAACTCGAAGGGGTGAGAGTGAAACGGATAGAAAGAGGGAGGAAAGAGTCGACGAGTGCCACGGCCACGACGTCGTCGTGGCCGTCGTCGTCGACGACGATCCCGGGCACATGTGTCGAACCTGAAATATGTAGGCGTGGTCTGGATGGAACTAGCAGACGCATACCGACGACGGAATATGTTCACCCCGTTGGTACGCTCCACCCTCGTCCAACGCTGGGAACGTTTCCATTGGCCGAAAGCCACCCTCGTTGCGCCTCCACCTGCCACCCTTGGCTACTCTCCGTCGGGTATTCTACCCCTAAATACAGGGGATGCGCGGTCGGTTCCCTCATTTTAACGTGCTCCGCCGACGCAAGCTGTACCCCTGCGTCGAGTTTCTGTGTTCCCATCTTCGGTGTTGTTGCGAATCTGTGCGGTCACCAGCAGTCGGCACTCGTGATTAGACTGATGTTTGTTGCCTGCCTGATCGAAAGATCTCGTGCCAGCCGATGTCTTAAATTGAGAAGAGTCGGAGGAGACCTTTGGAACGCACGCGGTGTTGTTGACGCAGAGAGGACTCTTTGTTGGACGCGTGGTCCGGTGAGTCACAAAGTTCATTAACTATTACGTTTATTGCTTCTTTCAATAAAAAGTTGTAGTTTCAAAGTTGTGATCTTCAGGCAATTTAAGAAGCACTTGTTACTTTTGATTTTACGATAGTTAAGCTTCTCGTTAATTCGCATTAACTGATAAATGTACGAATCACGTATTCTCGATCTTACGGTTACTTAGAGGCGAGTGTCAGTTTCCAGTAGCTTTCAATCACGTTTTCGATTATTCGTCCGATTCTCATTGGCCCAGTTCTATGATCCGAGGTCGTGGCACCTGGCGCGTCCGAGTCATCCATCACAACCGCGTTAAATTGACCATCGGCCGTGATTGTCGCAGGTCGATCATCCGTAACGAGCAGGATGACAATGGAAGATCGCACCAGTGGCATCGACCGTGCCGCCCCCGCGACATCCACGACGGCAACAACGGCGCTAACATCGTCCAGTCCCTCGTCCATCAGCGACGTCACCACCGACGCCGCGTACCCTCTTCAGCGCGCCGGGAAACGTTCCTTCGATGTGGCATTTCTTGTTGCGCCGGACGAGAATCTCGCCCGTCGCCAGAATGAAAAGATGAGGCTGGTATCCGGCAGGAAAGAACGCCACCGAGAGGAAATCTCAACAGAGAACGTCGAGGACAGGTTGCCGCAGAACCTGACGATCAAGAACTACGACAGTGACACTGGTAGCTCAGACAGGCGGAGGGTGATGCAATGTACCGAGAATTCTCTGAGCCCTCCATATATATCACCGAGAACACTTACTCCAACTCTGCCAGGCTTATCGCCCGACGTCGATGCTCGAAGATACGTGCCCAGTACTCGTTTACAGAAGACACCTAGTCCACCCGCGTTCGCCACTCATCAATCAATGCTAGCTACCTGTCCTGACGCGGTGGAGCCTAGCTTGGCTTGTAATAAGGTCTATGATACCGTCATACCCTGTCCAACCGAGAGACACGGAGAATCTCGCAGCGCCTTCACCAAGGTAAACTTGGCGGTACAGAGGAACGGATTTAACGACGATAGCCAGACCTCGCCGAGATCTTCTATATCACCGGATGATCGTACAAGCTACCAGAGCAGCGTCAGTCCGCCGGTGGTACCGTTGACCACCGGCTACAAGTATGCACCGTTTCCAACGAAGATGACGTATCCGTTCTTAGTCAGCCCGGAAGTCGGTCAGCCTGGATTATTGGAGAACCTGAAGATACCCCAGATCGCGCAGCCGCCCAAAGTACCGAGTCCAAAGATACCCAGCTTCCGGCCGGATCTGCCGCCGGTTTACCCGAATTTACCCTATAATCCGATTTCCGTGTTTCCTCCAATGGCCGAGGCGTTGACCAGGCCGAGATTCCTAGCAACGGCCGCTGGAGTGGCTGGCCTTCTGCCCCCGTCGTTCGCTGCACTAAGCCTACCCGCGCAGAACGTTTGCGCCAAGTGCAATCTGTCGTTCCGGATGACTTCTGACCTGGTCTATCACATGAGGTCTCATCACAAGAACGAGAACACCGGCGAGGCAGCCAGGAGACGGCGGGAGGAGAAACTCAGGTGTCCCGTTTGCGACGAGAGCTTTAGGGAGAGGCACCATCTCACCAGGCATATGACCGCGCATCAAGATAAGGAAAGCGACGCGATCGTGGACCAGGTCGAGGTGAAAAGGCGAGCCACTACTGTTCACAGTAAGTGACGACGGAAATCGTCGAGCGAAGATGCGAGGCTGACAGGTTATTCTTTTGAAAATTGAAGCGATACGAAAGTTCGTTCATTTGGCGATATTTCAGAAAGAAAATTCAATTTTGATGAAACATGTTGCTCTAGGGGTCGAAATCGTTGAGTCATATAAGATACCAATGCTCTTCCAATTTTTTAAGATATCATCTTTTAACGTACTATAGCCCGATACACGAAATAATACTATATCTACTTCTAGTTCCTCGATAGCTGAACGTCCAGCAAATTTTTTTCACTCGTCCCTTCTATTCAACTTTTAAACTGATTCAGAACGTTTTACGTGGTATACGTGTACGATAACTAGTCGCTAGGAATTTTATCGAGTTAACTAGGAGATCTTACCTTGTGATAAGGTGCATTCCCTCTCTAGTCAATATTAGGTAGGTGAAATTTGTAAATAATTCAATCTATTCTAGTTGTAAGAGTATTATAAGACGTTCGACCATCTCTTAAATCTCAAATCAATTTTTCTACTGCTCAACGTATTATATACAAAAATTGAATTCAATTTTTACACAGGGCAGAGGGGATTTAACTTTGTTTGACACTTTTCATAGGCGAAAAGTTCGCACGTTTTACATGTTCATGTAGGCAGGTGCGTTTTGACAGGGTGAAAACGCGAACACAGGTGGGGCAGGGTGCGTAGACAGGCGGGAACAGGCGTTCGTTTGTGTGCCGCGGCTGCGGAGGTGGAAGGGATCGGAACGGCAATAAATAGATCGTAAACCGTAGCCCCGGCTAACACACAAACCGGCGGAGCGCGCATAATGGTAGGAAACAATGAATGCCGTAATCGGAAACAGTGCCGGTTTGTTATCTGCCATTTACACTCCATTTAACTTCAAACAGTGAATCGGCTGGCGCGCATTCGCCAGTTTTAAATACACGCGACCTCTCCGGGCACCCCCCGGACTTCAACTCCACCCCCGCTGCACCCGGCCGCCCCGGCTTAACATAGGGTTAACCTGCCGCGCCACGCGGAGTGGCTTAATATTGCCCCGGAATTGCTTGACTTATCGCTCGCTTCCGTTCCGTGCTTAATGTTTGCTTATTTGCTGCTGCTGAATCGCGTTTTGCCCACTTGCATTATAACAATGACAGTTATAATTTATTAAACGGAACGGGAATGTCCGGTGTTCCGATCTTGTAAAATAATTTGGGGTGTGCAATAAAAGAAGAGAGACGAGTCGAGGTAGGTTTAAGTAAAAGAACTCTACAGTATTCTGTACAGCAATAATTATAGTAGTGTGTATATATTCGATTTTCTCTTCACACGAGTGAAAGGGGAGGTCCTTTCTTGGAAATCGTAAGAATAGAAGGATAGTCAGTTTGCGTGGAGATTCAGCGTTATCAGATAATGAAGTTATTAAATGTAAGACGTTGTTCTAATTGTACGTGTACGATATAAGCCCGATGTAAATGGTTCGTCATTTAGATTTAAGGTTCTGTTTCATTTTGTAAGAATTATTTATCGCGACGTAACCGTGATGTCACGTTGTATTCGATGTAAATATCACTCTGTACATAAGCACTGTATGTATCCGGAATCGTTGTTAATGAATAAAAAACTAATCCATGAACAGAAGTTGGCAAAATTTATACCCTTCCTGTTATTTGTCCACTGTTTCGTTCTTAACAGAAGTTCGATATTATTTCTTTGCTTTGTCCGATTTGTTCAAATTTCTCTGAATTCGTCACGGTAATAACTCTTTCGTTCTGAAGAGATACTACGATCTTTTCCCTTTCTCTTGCACTATTGTTCCGTTTCATCGGAAGCCGATTACGTGGCAATAGATTAATTTGTGGCCCCTCGACTGGCGATCTATCATCTTTTTCGAACAAAAATCGTTCGAACAAATATTTTTTGAGAGAACAAAACAGCCAGCGTAAATGACGGAAATACAGTCGAAAGAAATGTGGCGGCTACTATTAGTCTACGAATCTGATGTGCGCAAACATGAACTTGTTGAATGGAAGAAGACTACCAGAAGTGGCATCGGTCCTCGCCGGAGAAAAACCACAAAGAAATCCCCTAAACGGGTAACGCTAAGCCTGTCGAAACCGCAGCCAATACGACAAACAATCTCTTACCGCCCTCGTTCCAGCTTAACTTCGCCCCTTAACCCCCTCACCCCCGCGGAGTAAGTGTACTTACCCTCTGCCCGAGGTCCATAAAGATAAATAACGCGAAGCAGCCCACCGGGTGTGTATCCCTTATAAAACTAGGAAGAACCCTCTCCTCGGAAATTCTCATCATCCCCTCGAATCGTGGCCTGCGTCTGTCCTCCCTCTAACGAGCAAATCCGTCTCCGTCTCTTGCGTTACGTCTTATTATCGTCGAATATTGAATTCAAAAGGAATACGCAGTATTTCCCCCAAATCTCTTCAACGAAGGGCTCTGCGTCGCCCTTGAACGAATTGTTCTCAGAATTTTTCTTTAATACCAAAATTACTAGGATGTTTTTAACAGAAAAACACTCGTGTAAAAAGTATATCTCTCGTTTGAATGTTAACGTTGGAATTCTCTTAGCGAATGCCACTGACAAATTGCTTAACAAGAAAACGATAAAAATGCTCGTATCAGAGGTACGAAACGAAACTATCAATTCACGAATGGACGATCAGGACGATTCAATAAGAATATCGACACAGCGGGGGTGGAAGTGGATTTGAAAGAGATCCAGGCCATTATGCTCGGTGGTTCGATTTAAAAGGAGCATCGGCCATCCGTCCCCCTTAGACCCGATCTTCCCACCCTTGTTAGCGATACTTCGCCGTGGAGAATCGCGCGCATGCTTGTTCTGTCAGTGAAATAATGACAATGTCATAGCCCCGGCCGGATTCGCCACGGCCGCCTTTGCCACGTGGGCGACGATTGGACGCGGATATGCTAATATGGCGTCCGTTCCGAGACATTAACTTCTCCGTTTGTCGATTCTCGACAGACGAGTCACGTCTTCAGTCGGAGTCGATCACCGGATGCCGTTTTCCCTTTCGCCCGTTTCCTGATAACCAATCCTTAGACGATGGAAAACCGTGATTCATCCTCTGTTTGATTTCTCTAATAAAGGAACGATCATTGCTTCAAAAATTGATATCGCTACTCGTTCACCGAAGATGCGATTGAGAACGAACTTAAAATTCTACATAAAACTGTTTATGCAAAAGTTGTGCGATAGGCTGGGGCAAAAAGATGAGCTCCGCTCCGGTCGGACCACCCCGATTCTCGATTAGCTACGCTATTTCGTCGCGATTATGTAACTTGACTGCGAACACGCAGCTTACATCGGTCTCACGATGATCCCCGGTTCGATCTCGACCAGCCGTCGCTAAACGATTTGCACGACGCTACTTTTCCTAACAGGACATATGCTTCGATTCATTTTTTCACACGCAACGCCGAGAGTAATTCTAATCGTATACGTATTTATCAATCACCATACTCGACTGAATAATTTTTCTAAAGAATGATCGATCTCAAACTATGACGAACACAAGCAATGGTAGCCTGGTGTTGCTTTAAACACCGAAGGGAGATTACTAAAAAGTGGCATCCTCATGGGTCTTTGTGTCGCACGAGAAAGTTTGCAATTTTTTACGTCCCGTAGAATATATTGCCACCAAAGTAAGAAACAGCAAGCGAACGACTATTCTACTTTGCGTAGAATTGTGTCCCTTAAATGTTTTCTTGAAAAATAATCAAGAACAATGTTCATTGCAAAAATGCTTTTTTCATCCTAACGAAAAATGTTTCAGACAAAAGTTGTTTCTTTAACTGTCAGATACAAATGTTACCAACTGTGTTTTGAGCCCCAGTGGGCCCCATTCACTGCCCCAACGATTACACGAGCGCTACTACTCTCTGATAGTATCTCCTCGGTGCTTTAAACATATCGCCGAGTCCTTCTGTGCTGGCGCGAGAGACTGAAATCCGCGGCGGACTCGAAACGGATACCGCGCGCCGGTTCGCGCACAAAGAGCCTGTCTGGTATAAAAAAAAATGCATAGTGGCGACCACAGAGCGCGACGGTGAAATAGAAAGGACCGGCCAGGCGGGCAATAATTCGAAACAAAATGTCAAGCGGGCCACCATTGTCGGGTGCGGTGGTGCGGTAGGCGCCAACTAGCGCCGACGAGAAAATATCGCCGACAGTAAATCAAGGTGTAGAAGAGGAACCACCACCTTCTCTACCCATACTCCGGCACCCACGCTCTGTTCCCACCCTCTCCTATGTCCCGCAGGCCTGCCTGTTTCATACCCCGGATGGATGGTCCAGACGCACAATCGCATCATCACTTACTTCCGCCTCTCGTCACCGCGAATCAAACCTGGTTTCTATTTTGACATTCAAGATTGCATGACAGAATTATGAAAGTAACTTTTATAATTAGAAGCGATAATATTTGTAGTCAAATGTATCAAATTATTTTTAAAGGATAAAGTGCGAAATCTATATTTAATTCTTTAAATTGACATTAAAAGTTATTTTGTACAAAAATCTATAATCTAGCTGATGAGACATTTTTCAGTCAGTTAAATGATGAGAATATCGGGTTACGCAGGGAGGGGATGGAATCGAATCAAAAGGGGGAGGAAAAGATTTTCCACCCTGCTTAAATATGTCCGACCGCGAAAGCAATAAAATATCTTTATCTTACTCGTGCCATTACTCCCTTGATTCACCGGCTTCAATTTACATTCCTATCGGGGCTTCGGAAAAGATAAGTCCATTTAAATAAATTAGTAATGCTATCTCCTCGGTCGCCGGGTTCGCGGGGTTAATAATATTTTATCAATTTTCGCGGCGATTCGTTACGCGGTGACGCCGTTCACCATTGTCCCTGCGACGTACAATTGCTCGAGTTTTAAACTTTACGCCTCGATGAATCACCTTTCCGATGCGATCCGCGTGATAAGTTGCCGAGAGTGTTCCGCGTTGCCTTAAAAAATAATTTCTCGTCTCAACGATTGTTCACTTTTTATTGCATTAAAAGGACGAACTCAGATCTTCAAGTTACAAGTCCGTGTCACAAAGTCTGATAGCGAGAAAAGGGAAGGGTTACGATTTTTGGAAGCAGTCCCGACTTCGCATGTTGTTTGAGCCTGTCTTTTCCCCTTTCTGGCGCAACGTGTAGGTAGGACAATATAATGGGGCATAACAACGGCGTTAACACGCACTGGCCGACCCCGGACGCGACCCGCGACCCTCTCCGGGGTGAATTACACCTCTGATAATTACTAGAAATTAATGCTCGAGCCTTACACCGGTCATTGCGACCCGCGTCGTTTATCCGAACCCCTTCCATTTACCTGCTTTTACGCTGTTAATCGCGACACCTTTATCATCCTCCCTAATCTTTTCTATCTACAAAACCCAATCCCGTAACAATGAACTCAACATATGTAGATTAATCTACAATTAATTGTAATCCGCATATCCTATTCTCTCACGATTCTTGTAATCTAAATTAAGTCAAATTGATAAAAATTACTACCTCTAAGCATTGCGGTTTCTCTTTAAAAATACTATAGCCTTCTGTTTTTTCTTTAACTTAAGAAAATTGAAACTAGAAGAGATATCAAGGGATAGAAAAAAGGAGAGGGAACTCGTAAAATTGGAAAATTAAAATCGGCGCCGACAACGGCCTATGGAAGAAGAGGGGGGACGCGATGGGGATGTATTAAAGCTGCGGCCGGGGCTATGCCGCGGCAGATAGGTTAATGTGAATTTATTGCGATCGAGATATCGCTCTGGCCAGAAAGCAGAGACGCGTGCTACGCGCCCTGTCAAACCGATAGCCATTGTGCGCTATGCTCCGTGGACCGCGATCGGGGGGAACTGTTTTAAACCAGCCGACCGTTTTCCCGGGGTTTCTTATCCGACCGAATCTCAAACCGCCACGCGTGCAGCTTCTTCCTCGGATAAGTGATTTGGCACCGACCACCGCTGATTGTTACAGCAGATGCCATTTAAAAGATAAGAGACTATTTTAGACTCCACGTCTAAATTTCTCGTATGACTAGCTCTCTACTTATATAAAGTCAATGAACACTGCTGTGTAATGATTTACTGGTACCAAACCCAATTACTATTATTGAAACAACCCTAACTGGCTGTAGAAGAATTGTACTTCTTTGTTTTTTTACATTCTACACGATGCCCTAACCGGTTTCACAGTAACCAACCCCAACGATCAGTTCTAGAAACAGGATGGGTCCGATCGGCTTCCGGTGTCCTCGGCGCGGCGTCTTCTTCGAGCCTCGCCTCCGGCTAGTCCCCGTGACCGCGCATATATCACATTACTTTAATTCATATGGTAATCACGCGCCACTAGTACGCGCGGCGGCACCCGGCGAAAACTTTCGCGAACAATGCGAGGGACAATGCCAGGGGTGCGTGGGTGGCGGTAGCGGGTACAGAGAGGTAGGCGGGCACCCGTTCCCGCGGGAGGGGATGGAACAACGCCAGGGTGAAAAAGGGGGGTGGTAACGGTGTAGCCGGAGTTCGGACGAGAACGGTGCGAATGCGATATTGAA